ACCAAATCTTAGATTGTCTGATTCGGTCTGATATCCTACACATTGTTATGATTCTATAATAAGTCATCGTGTTTGTTTACAATGATTCAATTAAAGCCGTTATATATTTTAAACATATTTATCCAGAAAAGATTTCTATTTAAATTCTGATGCAACAGGCCTATGTGAAATACACATTGAACAGCTTTGCATGGTTTGCTCAAGCCAGTCGACCTGTTGAGCTTAATGTATTCATGACCCACATTAGATCGGTGTTTGTGAAATGATTGTGTTACACTACAGCACTGATCAATCCACTGATGCCCCGCAGGTTATTACAGAGGCCAGTCCGGTTCCCACCGGAAAGTTCAAAACAAACTGCAATGTTCTGCAGTGAAAAGCTACAGTGGAGCAGACTAGACCATAAATGCTCTTTTCTGACATTAAAATTAAAGAACAAGAAAAATACATGTATGGAAATGTCCAATTGAGCCAGGCCTGATTTTTCAAACAAGCAGCAATGCCTTTAGTTTACATGAATTTGACTGCATATGACTTCAAATATTTGAGATGGATATGCATGTTAAGCTTCTCCAGAAACTCAGTATGCACTTTTTCACAGATATTCGGCATATTTGAAATAACATTCCAGTTTTCTTTTAATATTTCACAACTTACTGAACCTCAGAACTGGCCAGGTTATTTTCACACAGTTGCACAGAAACGGAAAGAAAAGCTGGTGTCACAAGCACGCTTGGGTGAACATGAAAACATGATGAGAGCCGCAGACTTTAGGACCCAGTCCACAGAGTCAGCCAGTCGGCTTTCTCTTTTTTACTTAGCTGCGTCTGTAATGTCAGACGTGCTGCTAGAAGTGTGTTCCGGTGAACAGAACTAAAATCTGAAGGTGGCAGAGCATCATATTTTTAATAAGTACCATTTACAGTTAGTTTCATATCCCGGAAGCTTATTATGGCAATTAGAGGATTTGGGTAAATGGTAAAACATGTTGTAATGCCAAAATGACGTTAATTAGCCTCTCCAGAAGAAGATACATATTTGCACAGATCTTAGGACCAGGTTTAAAAGTCAAGAGTTGATGTACTAACTATGAATTTAAATCTGCACGTTATTGTTTAGTAATAATTGAAATTAGTTGTACAAAGAGCCTCAGATGCTCTTAGATGTAGACACTGTGAATGAGAAATGAAACCTTGCTTCACATTGATAAATGTAAATGTCCCGCATCCATGCAGCATCCCTTACCGTATATTCCCCACATAGGACAAGCGTAACAGGTGCCTCTGAAATACGGAGGAATCACGGCACTGTGAACGAACAGCCAGTATTTAAAATAACGCTAGGTACAATTTAATATAGGTGAGCTTGGATAGTCAATTAGAGATTGGTGAGAGAGGTAAAGAAGAACCCAAAGATCACTGTGGCTGAGCTCCAGAGATGCAGTCGGGAGATGGGAGAAAGTTGTAGAAAGTCAACCATCACTGCAGCCCTCCACCAGTCGGGGCTTTATGGCAGAGTGCCCCGACGGAAGCCTCTCCTCAGTGCAAGACACATGAAAGCCCGCATGGAGGACTCCAAGATGGTGAGAAATAAGATTCTCTGGTCAGATGAG